GCCAAAAATGCACTTTTAAAATTGTTATCAAAATCATATATATTTTTAAATCTTTTATTTAAATAATTTTTTATGGCAATAGCTAATAGTTTGCAAAATTGTAGAATGGTTTGAATTAAATTTGTAATTTTTTTTTTAACGACATTTAAAATTGGAGTTGATTCTCCATAATAGCAGTTGATTTCACTCTGTATTTTGTCAATCGCTATAGCCAATGGGGCCATTATATTGCAATATTCTTCTAAATATTGAATTTCAATATCTCTTAATTTAGGAAATTCTAATTTTTGACATAATTTAGGAAGTTCGCCTTTAAATTTTAATAATCTATGAAGACTATAATACAAACTATTCCATCTAGTGCAACAAGGTGTAACTAATTGTTTTCCTAAAAGGCCTATTATTTGCATTCCATAGCTTAGTACATTTAGCTATTGCAGAATGATGAATTTTAGAAATGTTAGGAGAATCCTTAATAGCTCTCTCGACATCTGTTGTGGCAATTAGACTTATCGTATGCCACAAACAACGAATGTGTTGAGGCAATGTTATTGAGGCTTCTTTAGACCCTTAAATAAACAAATAAATAATTTTATTTGAATAAAAATTTTTACTAAATTTACAATATCATAACAAATTTTAAATAAGTATTAAATAATACTTTCAATGATTTCGAATTCTATACATTCATCATCTTTGATGTCAAAGTCATTCTCTACAGCTTTCATAGAATATCCAAACTCCTTGAAAGCTTTTTTAAATTTAGAGCCGTTATCTGTAACAGTTGCTATAACTTTTTCGTCAATACCAAAGTCACGATGAATTTCTTTATTATGATCATCTTGAAGTACTTCAAAAAATTTGCCATTAAGTATGCTTAGTTTAAATTTATTGTTATAATTTTCGGTTGAAGAATCATCTGAAGACGAAGATAAACATATTATTCTATTTTCTTCTTCCATAATTTTAAAATAGACAGATATAAAACGATTCAAATATGATAGTTCAAATTGTTAGCAAATTGCTATATGACGACCAACGTCATATATCAAAAATTATCTTAAAATATCTAAATTTTGATTAAATTTTTCATTTAAATCTTAAAACAATATCAATTAAAATTTTAATACTATTTAAATTAACCAATATAAATTTTTTTTAAAGTATCTGTATCTTTTTGAATACAAAGTTGGTTAAGATACAAATCTTTTAAATAATATGTATCTTAGGTACTGGATACAAGATACTTTCCAAAATTTTTAAAAAGATACAAGATACAAATATCCGCGATACTGCCCAACCCTGATAATAATTAATTAATACCAATTGGCTGTATATACTACATAATTCTTGCAAGAAGGCAATGAATGTACTATCTGTGAATGTCGTACTAATTGCGATTAATTAACGAATTTAGTTCATCAACTAAAAGAGTTAACGAATTAAAAGAGTTTTTAAAGTGGTATGACTTGGAATGGTGTGAGTTGTTGCGATATATACCTATCAGGTGGTTGTCATTAATACCTGCCATCTATAGAATTTTAAAATAAAAACTTAAAATAACTTCTTAAATAGAGATTTTAAAAGCTGTCCTAAAATTTTGAAAAATTTTTTCGAGTATGAAATGGCAGAAGCATATTTGAGATTCGTTCCACTGTAGGAAATCTACTTCATGCAGTTAATATTCAGTTGCAATCAGAATATTCTTTATTAAAAAAAATTCACAAAATCATGCTACAGCTCTGTTCATCTCTACAGTTAAAAATTGAAAATAAATTTTATGGCTCTATTGCTAAAAATATTATATTAAAATGTTCAAATAATACTATAATTAATACATTTTTAAATGAAGCAGATATTTTTATTAAGACAATTTTAGAATATTTACAATCAAAATTTGATTTTAATAACTCTATTTACAAATGTATAATTATTATGACCTTGAAACAGAAACCATCAATTGATGGTACCGAAAGACATTGATGTCTTATTTAAGGAGATTGTAATTCTCTCTATATTTTATGATTAGCCAAAATACTTAAATTTAGATGGTCTAAGCAGAGGAGAAATAAGTAGAATTTATTCGTAAACGATAAATCCCCATGCTTGGAATATGCGAGTATGTCTTCTCCTTACCTCATTCTAATGCCTCATCCGAGCGCATATTTAACCTGATGAGGACTGCCTGGATAAAGGATAGAAATCTGATTGCTTTAACAACATTAGAGGCCGAGCTAATGGTTAAACAATTATATAATATGTCATGCCAGGAATTTTATAAATATCTCAATAATGACGGTAAACATTTAGTTCTATTATATAATCTCAAATAAAATATAATTAAGTTTTAGCAATGGCGGTATAAAATTTTATTTCAATTATTAACTGTAAAGATAAACACATCTTCAGAATAATTTTATGAATCTTTATTAAGATTCTTCTGATTGCAACTACACATTAACAGCATGTAGTAAATTTTCTACATGTGAAATCATTCTTAAATATACCTTTGCCATTCATTATTGAAAAAAATTTTCAAAATTTTAGGACAGCTTTTATAATCTTTATTTAAAAAATATTTTTTTAAAGGTTTATAAAATTTTAAAATTCTATCGATGGCGGGTATTAGGAACATATCGCAACCAACATTGTGGTGACTCAATTCTGTAAATACACTCTGTTTTTACCAAATTCACTGAGCCATTATCAGACCAGAAAGCTGACATGCAATTTATCGATAATCTCGAATCTGCTATATTTATTACCATTATATAGTTAGCTATATCTTAAGATTTTGCACTATTTGAGGGGAAAAAATTTAATAGTTTTATTGAAACGACCTTAATTTTGTTGAAATAGCGGAGGATCAAGGGAAATATTTTAATATCTCTCTTATTAGATGCATCTGTTAAAATTGCACATGTAGGCCCATCTTTCATATCGTCAAGAATTGACCTACTGGATTTAGTTCCTAAAATATTGATGATAGCCTTGCTCATTTTGTTCTACAAGTATAGTTCTCATTTATATTAGAGTCGTTAAATATTATGGGAAAAAGATTCTATCAACATTGTGATGATAAGTTTTCCTGTAAATGTTGTACTACAAGATAAGTGATTACAATCGTCGCAACTGTAGTTGCATCTGTATTATTTCTTATTTTTGGAGTACCTTATTATGTATTTAAACGTGATTCGTGATAATTAAGCGCCTATCTTTATAATGTTATACACACACTAGATTTCCAATTGCGGTCGTTTTGCGGGACATTCGCATAAATATTTTTTTAATTGTAAAATTAAAATCGTTTTTTTTAATAAAATTTTATCTTGTTTACATTCTTTTATATTTAAAAAAGATTGTTGGATTTTTAAAATTAATATATTTTAATTAATCAAGATGTTATTTTATTTTGTAAAATAGTTACCGACTTTGTATTTATATAAACTAATTATAAAAAATAATAAGCGGATAATTAAGTCAATTCAAATCCCGGCCGAAGGCCTGCAAAAATTTTTTTTTTTAGCAATTTTTATATTTCTACTGCAACTTTCATATTTATCCCGCATAATACCAAATATCTCTCGCAATTTGAAAATTTTGACCTGGCAACCCTGTTCATGATAAAGTACACTACCCTTTAAAATCAAAATGGTGAAGAAGAAGTCGATGTATTAATAAAAGATATGATTGGGTATAAATTAAATTTACCTGGAAAATTATGCCAGATATCAATCACATCATTCAAAGATATTATTGGGAAATTTTTTTATTCATATGATAAATTATTTCAGGATATAAAACTTACTTTTCCGATATTCGTGTTACCTATTATAAAAATTATTCGATACAATATTGTGTTGATAAAACAAAGTATAAATTATTATCTAAAATTTTTAATATAAAAAATAGATAATTGTAAAATAAAATAAAAAAATATATTAACTATAAAATTAATTTTTTTGGAAGATAATAAATACGTATAGGAAATTATTCGAATTTATCATAATTATTTGTTCGAGATTTTCTTAATCCATACGGGGTAAGTGATCATGAAGAATGATGTCATTTTTAATTACATTAGCGAAATTTCTTGTTCGAAGACCGCTAGACCTTGTTAATTAGAGTATGGAATTTGGATAATGAGATTCAACAAAGCCTCTGGGAATAATGCCCTCTACTATAGGATTATAACTTATATATTTGGACAATTAGTTTCAACCAAGCTGCTGGGAAGCAACTTATGCCCGAATATTAGTTATATTATAAACAAATTCTGACACATAATGATTATATGGATTCTTTTTAAAAGATTTAAATTATTATTTAATATGCTCAGCGAATTTATATATTTTTATGGCATTTTTTTAATATAGGACGTTTGACCTGTTGAGGGTGATGTTTTGTGTTTTTATACAAATCTATACACATATAGATGAAGAACATATCATTTTATTTATTGTATTTTGTTTATATATAATTAATAATTATTTAATTTAGAAAAAGGGGGTGGGATTCAATTTTTATGGAATAATTTTAATTGAAAATTTGTTTCCATAATTGTAATTATCCACGATCTGAATTGGGCTTTTTTTGTTTTAAATAAAAATAATATACTTGAAATTATAAATTAACCTTTCTGCCATATAGATCATCGGCCTGCTAGTTAAATCAAATTATTTACAAGCGATAATAATCAATATATAATTTCTAAAATTTAAATAAGTTTAAATGTGAAACTAATATGTACATTGTAAAAATAAAAGTGGACCTAGGAAATATTAATACAATATATTATGGTTTCCATTTCATTAATATTTTTTTATTTAGAGCGTAGACACGCATTTAACATAATTATATCTATCTTAATTTGCCCTACTTAACTTATAAAATTTTCCCCATTATTATGAAGGTGCAATTGATAACAATTTGTTTAGGAGAGTTAAATGTATTATCATTTTAATTTATTAATGTAAAATTTATGTTTTGTTTGTATATACATTTATTTTTATAATTTTATTTTTTTTACATATAATATTATTTAATGAACAATATAAAATAAGAATTTTAACAATAAAATGGATTTAAATAATGAATATCAAGATGAAGAAAGGTTAAGTTTTGATGACAGCTATAATTTTGATGAAGATTCTGTTTCACAATACACAAATGAACATGAGTTATGTAATACCTGGCGTGGATGGAAAAAAACGGTCAATTATCCTATTAGCAATGGTTATTTAGAATTTATAAAATATGCATTTCTTTATATTCATTTATTTATATATCTCGATTTACTTAATTATGCATAAGCTTGAAGCTTTTCCTACATATAGAGTTGTGGAGATTTTTTTTAAGCCAAACTTTTATAACACTTTCTAACCACAAGTAATAATTCTTTACATAATGATTAATAAGCTTCAAATTTTCCTTTTATATTGCCAATTTTATTTGATAAAAATGTTAATATTTATTTAAGTAAGAAATTATATATATAAATATATTTTATCAGAGCACAATTTATTTTTTCTTATTATTTGATGTTGAAAAATTTATAGTTTATTTAACGATTAACCAACAGTAATTATATTATACCATCATGCCTGTTTGTGTATAATTTCTATTCAAACAAAAATCACTAAAAATTAGGATTATTTATTATCTATTATCCCCTAAAACTTTATAACAATATTAATAGAAAATCTCTAGGTTTTTTTTTAAACTGAATAGTAAGATAGATAAGTACTACCTTCCTTAACATCTATCAATTTTAAGTTTTTTGAGAATATATAAGAAATATATATTTTTAGAAATTTAGGAGAATCCCCTTTCTATATTAATCAGCTCAATTTTTAAAAATGACACTCAATATTTTGGCCAAGAATATTACACAAGTCTGGAGATTATGCTCATAGATACCAAAATGATTTGGACATCTATTAATGATACTTTAAAGCTTGTTTAATTTTTTTGGCCAAAATATTGGAAGCTGTTTTATAAAATTGAGCCATAACACTACCTCTTCCCATTTATTTAAATTATTTTAAAGGGCTTAATAAAGTAATACAGTATATACATTTACATATTTAGAATAATAAATATACTTTCTTAATCAGTATTTGCAACATAGACTATAAGGGTGAATATATATTTTTTTTTCAAAGTAGATCATTCTTTAAAAATGGGTTATGGTTTCCCTAAAATTATGAAATTCTGGTTTCAAATTTTTTTAAACAAATGAATTACACAACATTTTAAACAATATATAAATTTTGAACCAATTTAAATTTTAGCCTGGGTTTCAGCCTTGGATCTAATATATTTTTAAAAGAGGGTTTTGACTCCAGTTCTCAGGGTTCTTGTAAACTATGATTAATTCTTTTAAGACCATTTGTCAAAATTTTGATTATTTGACCTTTTTTGTACCTCCCATAGTATTTTTTTTTTAAAAAAATATCATTAACTCTATTTCCCATAATAATTAAATTTTTTTCCACATATCCAATTTTATATGTAGCAAGGCAATAATTATAAATAAATAAATATTGGGTGAAAGACCTCTTTTATTATTATTTAATAAATAAGTTCATCCTTTTTTTTTTAAATTGCCCATTTTTTTTTCATAATTTATTACACAAAATAAAATACCCAAATTTAACAGTTTATTAATGGCCCAGAAATTTTAGAGGTTAAATCGAGAATTTTACCTGTAATATTATTTATTACCGTATTCAGAAAAATACTTCCTAGAACGAGCTTAATAATTAGATTTTATTTAAGTTATAACGAACGCTCATTTAAGCAAGGTTGAACGAACTACGTAATTGAATATTTAAAAAAATAAAAATAAAAGGGGGAGGGGGGTGGTCTCATATGATCAAATAAAACTACTAATTGGAAAAAATAATAATAATATATATTTTTTTAATGATTTTAATATTTTTTTGTAAGAAAAAATAAAATGATAATATTTATTATTTTTGAGAGGGCATTATCCTTGAACCTTAATGAACCCCGCCTTTAAAATATATTATATATATTTTTTTTATAATAATATCGTATTTCATAAACAAATAAAATACATAAACCCCCCTATAGTGAAAAAGAAAATAAAAGCTAAAATAAAATAAAAGTGTGGGGGAAAAGTAATAATAAAAATATACGAAAAAAGGGAGAATGAAAAATCGATGGTAAATATGGTGTATTTTTTTATTTTAAAAATGAATTTTTAAAATCTATTCTTGACTTATTTTTTTAAAAGTTCTTGCCCCCCCCCCTCTTCCCCTCTATCCCCATTTTTGCCGGTTGTGAAATAAGTTTTTTTCATCACTCGATAATCAAAAAGTATTATTTTAGGCGCGGTTTCAGGTTATCGCAACGCTCGTTCTCACATCTTCGATATAGTTATGGATTGGCTAATGGGGCTCAAATTTTAAGGGAATTTGTCACCAAAGCGGTTTTTTAAAACTTTGTTAAGAGTATAGTTGGGTAATTACTGTTTTTAGACATTATTTTTAGCCGTACATAAAAGATGAATTTGGGGGTGAGATTTAAAAATTTTCAATTTAAGGGCAGATATCTATAATTAAACTAGGTCGACCCGAGCTGGCTCATATATATTTTTATTTTGGTTTTCGGCTCGGCCTTTTTTTTACTTGATCTGTAAAATATACTTAGTACAGTTGTCCAGCTCAGAAATTAATTATTTTTTTTCGAAGATGGGGTATGCTGATTTCCAATTTATTTCTTGATTTGCCCAGGCGCAAATTTTTAGGGTCATCAGAGGCCAGTGGCGTATCCAGGATTTTCTTATAGGGGGGGGGGGAAATTTTGGGGGCTTCGCCCCCAAACCCCTTTTACCTGGCCTTCGACCAGCTTTTCCCCGGCCTACGGCCGGGTCTTATTTAGCTATTCTATTAAATTATTCATAATTTAATTATATTTCTATTTTTAACTATTATTTACTAATTCGTGCTTATGGATAGGATATTACAAGCCTCTTTTTTATTATTTCAAGATAGGTATATTATATTTAATAAAGTTTTTTTAAATGTAAAGGTTTTTTTAAAAGTTGAAATAAAGTGTAATGTCATTTTTATAAAATTTGCTTTAAAAACTAGCCTCAGCTTAAATTCTCATACAATATAAGTAGAAGATAAATTTTTTATTGAAAATACTAATAGTAGTTTAAAATATTGACTAGAAAATAATTAAATTAACAAGTTTTTTTTAACTTCTTATCAAATACAAGATTTTTAATTATTTCGTTTGTCGTTGGAACCAAATCTCTGTGTATATTTAACAGAGCTAACCCATTTAGCCGAGATTCAGTACTTCGTAAATATGTTTTCAACCCTCTCAAGTTGGAAAAAGTTCTTTCATTCGTACATGTTGTAATAGGCAAACATGCAAGAATATAAAACAACTTCGAAATATTAGGAACTTGAGCCAAGGTTTCTTTACACCGATTGAGCGCATCAATAGCATGCTCAGGTAAAATAGCTAAACGTATAAATATTTATACCACAATTCGAATTCACTGATTAAATTTATTTCAGTATCAATCTCATAGGAATAAAATTTTTCTAAATATTTAATTTTTTTCCCAATAGTGGCATTAGAAAATGAAGAAGGATCTTTGGGTAATAAAACTTGAAGATTGCTAAAGACTTGTTTTTTATCTAAAACCCGTACTTTTATTTGAAATAAAAAAGTATCTAAGAATGAGATGAAAATGGATATTTTATAATATTCTTCAGTTGAGCCAATATTTATTTTCATCTCAATAATGGCCTAGGTGCTAGACGAGGTTTAATTAGTATTATATCATAAAATTTAGCCTTCGATTCAACGTCTACATTCATTCTTATTGTATCTACCTGTTCATCTATATTTTCCGCCAAATCAATAACCTGAACCAAATCTAAATTTGGTTTTTGTAAATTTCTACAAAGTAGTGAGCTATAGGAAAATAATTTATTGATGCAACTAGCAGCAATGATAAATTCTGATTGATCAATTGAATTCAATAATGATATCGCTGCTAACGACACATTACTTTTTTTTCATGCTCAACCTTATTTATAAATTATCGTTTGATTTCAATCTCTTTGACTAAATATTTTTCCATTTTATTAATATTTTTGAATAATATGTTGTAAAATTGATATTCAAATATTTGTAAAATTTTGATTGGTGGGGTGGGGGGGGTCTGGGGGGTAGGAGTAAAATTTTTATTAGCTTAAAATGATATTTATGAAAATAGTAAAATTTGCGATGGGGGGGAATTTCCCCCTTTCCCTCCCATTGGTTACGCGCCTGTCAGAGGCCATCCTACATTTTTTTCTTGAGTCAGTATGTTTGCTTAATAAGATCTCCTGGACACTAAGCTTGATAACAAACCAGCTATTAAACCTAAACGAATCTTTGCAAATTAGCAGAAACTAAAGAACGAAACTTAAGTCTATTTAAAAATCATATTTTTAAAAAAATTCATCCCTCAAGGGATTATTAAATGTTATATTATAATATGATATATTTTTTTTAAACCAATCATATCTCGCTGGTTATCTAAACTTTTACTAATATGATAAAACTAAATTTTAAAACTCGGTAGTATAACGGCCCGGTTCTCTGCAATAAATGAACTATAGGACGGCAGTCTTGACGCGTACGCCATTTTTATAACATATCGAGCTGATAAACCGGGAATAATCGTGTTTATTTTTCCCAACCATTATAAATACTATTTTTAATTTTAGTGATCAACAACATTTTATCTTTTTGTTATTGCCGCAATTCGCAAACATGTTTTTAAATTAATTTTTTAATTTTAATTTAATAAATTTTCTTTTGTTCCTTTATAAATTATTTTTTTATTTTATATTTTTTATTATTATGTATTATATATTACCCAATAATAAAGTAAAGGCTGAGATTAAAATTTTATACACAACTTTTAATGACTTTATTAAGGCTAATAAAAACAATGGCTTACCCAAGTAGTTAATTTATTGGGGGGAGAGGGGAGGGCATTTTGAAATTTGGTGGAAAAAACTTAACCTTCCTTATTGTAATTTTTTTTAAACTGGTCATTGGTTTCTTTATTTAAATATTAACTGTTATAATATAATATATTACCAATTTTTTTTTTCTAACATAAAATTAATAAAGGTGAATAGGATTTAGAAGAAAGGAGATAGGGGGTTTATTAAGAGTATGTCTTAAAAAGAAAATAGTTACTAGAAACAAAGAAAGCTATAAGGAAAGAAAGAAAGCATAATGAGGCATGAAAAATTATTCGATGGAAGTAAGATAAAACATTTATCGCATTTCATTTTTTTTTCAATATTTGATTTAAGGTTTATATTCAAAAAATTAGGCTCAAATTTTGTAGTAAAAGTATATATCTGTTCTTTTAAAAAATTTGTATGAACTAATCCTAAACCATACCCATCTCTCACATTTAGTGCTGTTAAAGGGCTCGTTTTGGGTCGATTTTTAAAAACGGCTAACTTTATATTTCATCCAGAAAAATATTACGCTAGCCTGAAGATTTTGTTCATAGAAGAAACAAAGGTCTGGACATATATTATCGAAATCTCGAGGCTTGGGCCATATTTTTCTGGCTAAAATATTGAGTTAGCCGTTTTTAAAAATCGGCTCAAAACGTTTAACAACACTACTCACATTACTCCGAATAGCTCTAAGTTTAGTATTATTAAACGGCTTGATTTTACCAATATTATAAAATTAAGATTTAAGCCAAAATAATACACAAGCCTTGAGATTTCTTTAATAGATGGTCAAAACTTTTGTGTCATCTAATGAGCAAATCTCCAGGCTTGCGTAATATTTTTTGGCTAAAATATTGAGTTGGCCGTTTTTAAAAATAGAGCCCTTTAAACAACGAGTTCTTACCATTTTGATTTAGTTCAGGTGCGTTCAATATAATAAAATCCGAATAACCGTAACATTTGCATCACAAAAGTCATTACTTATCAAGATGATCATTTTTTTAGGGATGTACCGATATTTTATATCGGATTGGATCGCGCCGATATTTCACCCATTTTAAAATATCGATTATCGGCAAATATTATAAAATTTTCCGATCCGATCCGATAAAAAATGGCGCCTTTATCAAAATTTAAAAAAAAGTTATATCTAAAAACCCATTTAATCGAAATCCATTTTTATGTTTCATTTTTTTTTAATAGTAATATTTAGTTAGTAAACTTTCTGCCATATAGTTATTTTTTTTTTAACTTTCTGTTTAAAAGAGTGTTCAATAATCTCTTCAGAATCTGTTTTTAGTGATGCTAGCGATATTGACAGTCCCCATCACCGCAGACTGATCTCTGATCTCTGATAAATTGGAAATTTTGTTATTTCTAAAAAGAAATCTTCGATTTATTAATTTCAAATTTCATAATATTTGTTTATTATTAATTATGTAAATAGACTAATGTTATTACTTATTATATAAATAAGTAATTTATCAGTAAAAATATTTTATATACTTTTAGAATTGCAATTGAATTGAATATCAACTATAACTGATTATTATCATATATTTAAATGACATATGTTATGGTATTAGTAAAACTAATAAAAAGTATATTAAAAATTAAAACCATTGGTATCTTTACAGAATTAGATATGATATCGGATTGGCCTCAAAAAGTGGTATCGGTACACCCATAATTTTTTTAATGTTTATTTTCATCCCATTTTCTTTCGGAAAAGGTTCTTGAATAATATTATCTCTAAGATCCTAACAGTTTAATTTAGATCTTCATTATAAGACGGTGATTATTATACGGAGGTCGTCACTATAAGAAGGTAGACATTATCCTCCAATCCCTATCTGAAGAGAATTTTATATTTTAACCTCTCTGGTATTAAAAATTAATTTGGATGGGGCTCAAAACTAGTGAAAATTTGTTGTTAAACCACGTATTCATCTAGATTTCTACTGGACATTATTTTTCCCGAAAATTGATATTTTACAAAAAAAACATCTATTATAAATTATTACTTTTGTATGCCCATTATAAACGATCCCATTTAACACATATGCGCAGGCGCATTATAAATTATTTATAATATATATTTTTCAATATTAATTTAAAATTTAATGTTCCATTTTTATTTTATTTTTCATGTTTACGAAAACTTAATAAATAATGGATAACAAATTTTTTTTATTCCATCTAAACGTTAAATAGACGCAAATTCCCTTGACCTTATTTTCCTATATTATTCTTTTCTTTAATTTTTTTTGTATATATTTTTAAAAATAATATTCAAAATCTTTAAAATGATTATCCTAGAGGATTACATGAATGAATATTTTCCCCCATTTAATATTTCAATTTACCGTGCCCCCCCCCCCATTCCATTTGAAAGGATTTTCAGATTTCGCAAAAAAAGATATCCAAACAATATAATTTTGGCCATATTTTAGGTGAAATCTTGAGGACTAAACAAATAATATTTTGGCAAAAAATCTTGATGGCGCTCATTTTTTAGAAATATGCGCAAATGAGGTGATTTATCAACAGTAGCTCAGCCGAAAATCTTAAAAATCCACGATATAAACGCTTGGGTATAGCTTTCTCTAGCACTTTATTAAAAAAAAATTATTTCTCCCTTGAGTAGTAATAGTAATGATAGGTTTGACCATTTTAATCAAACAATGGTCGAGAATATATAAGTATTAAAGGCCGGAGAAAATTGAAAGCGAGTAAATGTGGCACACTGAGCAGGTGATATATCGTAAATATGTAATAAACTTTCCCATCTCCTTAAACTATCCGCTCTGATAGTATCAATGTCTTTAAGTTCATATTTCTGCAGCTTACCCCGATTAGTATAATCTCATACGTTTTTAGAATATTTTAGATTGAAAATGAAATAAATGACACATTCAACTGGAAGAAACCAAATTTACCCATTTATTGTAAATATGTGAACATTATGATGAGATCTCCCTTCTCCTCAAATATCCGCTCTGATAGTATTAACGTCCTTAAGTTCATATTTTTGTATTCCAGTTTATCCCGATTAGTATATTAGTATAATATCATACATATTTTGTTATATCAGGAAAAAATATACCCCCTCCCCCCTACTTCCAAATCTCCCATAAGGCAAAGCATTTTTTAACAAACTAACAAAAAATTAATTTGGGGTCAAAACATTTTTTTAACAAACAAACTAACAAAAAAATTAATTTTGGGGTCGATTACATTCCTATATTATTAAATTATTTTTCTATATATTTTTCCTCTCTATTTTCTTGATTATTTTTTGGTAAATTAAGAATAGAGGGTAAGCCCATTTTTCCCTCTTTTATTACATGTAGGATCGTGGCCATTTTTAACCCCAGATTAATAACCGGTAAGCCCTTACAATGGCTAAACCGGCGCCGGGGAAGGAATGTAACGAGTGGGTGTGACTAAATTGTTACTTATCTATCTTATGAAGTTATCCCCTCTCCCGATATTATTTAATGATACAATTGATTCATATCCCCTATGTTTGAGGGTCCTGGGTAGAGGTCAGCAGGGGAATTTTTAGCCTTCCCACCTATACTACTGGTGCGCAGGCGGGCAAGTTAAAAAATATAAAACATTGGTAGGGTGTGAGAAGGGATGAGCCAAAAATATTCTTAAAAACAATTGGGGGGAGGTGAATTTAAATTATATTTATTTCATAAAATCACCATTATACATGGACGGGTTGGCTGGCGGTTAAAATTTTTTAACGCATTGGGTGCGTGTTAGGGTTAAGAACATTGCACCTCTAGTTATGGGTGCTCTTGTTTATTTAAAGAAAATAAAATATTGATTTTATAATCGTCTTTTTGAGGATATATTGATTGTTATTATATTTTCGCTATCTCTTTATTCTCTCTTTTTTTTTAAAAAAATCAGGATATTATTTATTTTTTTTTTGTTTCGTAATAAAGTACTAAAATGGTTTTTACCACAATTTTACTTCATCTTTTTAAAGTGTATCACTACTAGCATGGTTATTCCTAATGTATATATATTTTTTTAAAAAAGCATATTTTTTATACTAACTCGCTTTTTATCAGTCCCGCTGGGCAAATCTTGATATGTTATCTTTAAAGTTTGAATTATTGAGGTCATTTCATGTTTATTATTGATTTATTTAAAAAAATTTTTTTTTATTATTAATATAGGCTAATAAAATAAAAATGAAAAGAAAGAAAACTTTTCTGTCTTATCCTGCATTCACAGTTAGCGCGAATTTACGGAGAATTATACATAAATACAGCATGTTTTGTATATTTCGCCGTCGCGCTAACTGTAAATGCAGGGTTATATATATTTTTTAAATCAGGCTATCTGATTTTTTTAGAATACGAAAGACAATAAAACTTAGGGTATGTAGATTTCGTGTTGCTATATTATAATTAACGTTGTTAGCTAAGTTAGTCAGGTATCTCAACGATGAATTAAGTATTGTTATATTTGAATTTATAATTTCCAACCCCTCTAGCTAATTTTAGGGCACAGGCCATTTTAATTTGTATATCTGACACCCCTTATGGTGGTTTAAACGGTCAACTAAACTTTGTTGCGTGAATTAGATAAGTTCCTCTTGCTGATATGCGGAGGATCCTCTTATGAGGCATTCTTTAGTTTTGATCCAGTTGCTCTGTTTTATTCAATTATAGAGGGCTATGCCCTTATAGCACTTATCACGTACATCGGAATATAAACTTTCTTTTTAAAATTCTTCTTGAATTTCCCTTGTTTCTAATTTACCTTTAATTATTTGCACCATGGGAAAGATCGAAAATGAACCCCCCACCCCCCTTTCCCCCACTCCCAATCGGTTAATTTAGAGATTATTTTCTCCAAACGATAATAAGGCACATGTTCGTATCCCATAAAATCCTGGAATCTTTTGAAGATTCAAAAAAATTACAGGCTTGGTCTGACGAGCCGGGACTATTTGATAAAATAAATGCTAATTTTTTATATGATGTTTTTCCCTACTTACAGAAATATTCGGCACCGAATCTTTGGTGGAAATAGCGGCGAAAAGGGTGGCCAAATGCATACCCTTCGAATTTGTCGAGAAAATGTATCCTCCTGTACCAGAACAACTGCAATTGCGTATCGCGTTTTGGAGCTTTCCTGAAAACGAGGAAGAGATTCGGTTTTTTTTAAATTTATTTCTTTAACTAATTTTAAGACCTAGCCCGCAACTGATTGACTTTTCATAAGCTATAATATATTTATTAAGATGCAACTTATGCTTAGTTACATCAAGGTAAAAAGAAATAATTATTTTCCACAATTTTTTCCTATTGCTAACTTTTACATTTTATAGCGAGAGTAATCTAATTTTACATTTAATTCTTATTTATATTTTCCTAGGTTATATTCTTGTCTCGCGAATGGTTCCGGCGACGAATTTTGTCGCGGGGAAAGTCTTTTCAAAATGAAGGTCATCAACGAAGCCCTACAGATAGGTAAATAATAATATTAGTTTCACCGATTTTACTTGTTCAAGAATATTCAATTAAATAACATATATATATTAGCCTAAACTGACGATTTTGTTCGTTTAAATATGTATTCAATACGAGTCAGCTGATACGCCAGGTTTCCTATATAAGCATTTTACATTTAAAATTTTATGAAATTCATGATTAAAAAAAATTATAAGGGAAACCAAAAACCGTGAACCAACTAATTTATTCAACCACCCTTCAGAAGTCTAGATAAGTATTAATTGTCACATTGATTCAACTATAATTCAATTTTCTAAGGTTAAACCCCCCCTATCATCCTCAATTCTAAATAGATGAATTATTATTGGAAAAGGGTTCTATCTAATGAAGGCATGGTCCATGTCATTGTTAGATCTATGCACGGACCAATCTTAGTTCGATCTTAACTCGAATCGGTTTGATTCTGACAGACATTCTTTCGATTGGATTCTGACCTGGATTGAATTTAATCATGGGATTGGACCGCATTCAGACACTTTCAGATCCTAAAAATTTTTCCGCTGAAATATAGTTCTTTTAACAATCCAATGAAAAATTCGGATTGGCTTTGACTCGGATCTATCTTCAAAATAAAATGATTGGTCTAACAAAAATTTTAATTTTTTTTCTCGAATCAGGTCAGATTTGACAAAATAGGTCCAATCAAAGGACTCTAGTATATTGCTTCCGCTTCATTGATAACCAATCATTCTTTTTTTTCAGATACATTAATTTTTCAAGTGGATAACTATTAATCTCTTAAAAAATTATAATCTTAATTGATACAAAATAATATTAATTTATAAAAAAAATTTATTTGGAATTTAAATAAAGTGTTTGCAAAGATATCAATCATCCTACGATGTTAAGATCACCAAAATGTTCGCCCATGTTAATTAATCCTATTTTCTAAGATTAACTATCGTCTGCCTATTTTTTAAGATTAACTATCGTCTGCCTATTTTTTTAAACCCTTTTTAAGATTTATTATTTTATTTAAATATATGGAGATAAGATCTCAAATATCCAAATTTATAAAATCATCATTAATTCATCTAGGGAGAAAGTTGAAGCAGCGACGCAGAACAAAGGATTCTGTAGAATAAATTAAGGTTTATATGAAAATCGGTATCACAGAATATGTGCCAAATTAATATTAATTTAATGTCACAAAGAATAGCCGTATAAAGGCAAAGCTAAATAAAACACAATTTAAATATAGCTAGGCGAAAATAATGGTATTTTAGCATAGTACAGGGTTTTGACTAAAGTTACATATTAAATCATATATTTTATATTAAATGTTATTCATTATAAATATTGTTATTTTAAAATAAAGGTTTTTTTTAAAAAAAATTGAATGTCCATCACTATTTTTCAAGTTATAAATTTTATTAAGCTATAAAAATAAATAAGAGTGTTCAAATATCAATGAATTGGGGCAGTAATAGTGATCTGCATCGGGCCTAATTTTTCAAGCCCGGCTCAGCCCCGAACTCGATATTTTTTTAAAAAAAATTTACCGGCCCGGTTTGGCCCGAATTTATTAAAATATAGAAATTAATTTTTATAATTACTCAAAATAAAAGACATATGTTACATGGTGTTTAGTTTCAATAAATAAAATCAAAAATTTTTATTTTACATAAAATTGATAAATTTAGATATATTTAAAAAAAATTTCAAGGTCCGACCCGGCCCAATTTTTTTAAAAATATTAGGCCCGGTCCGAACCCGATTATTTTAAATAGAATTAGGCCCGAGCCCGGTCCGAAACCCGTTCGGGCCGGGCCTAACTTTGCAGATTTCTAGGCAGTATATCATAATTTTTGTTATTATTACCAGGGTTTCATCTTAGCACTACCATAATACAATCACTGCCAAACAAAAGTCAGAGGTACATGGTGACCGTTTTATTTGATAGAGGTAAAATTACCTCTTGCAGCTGTGAATGCGCTCAATCCTCTTGGTGTTCCCATATCGTGGCCCTTTGCTTGTTTCGAATCCACAACGTAATGACAAATTTTATTTAAAAAATCGTTTTTTCATTATATTACTTTGAAAAAGTTTATGAAAATGAATCCTTAACTTATAAGGTCCAGATTAGGGATGATATTTTATTTTCATTATTTATACTATACCACATGGTCTTATTTAATCATTTTTATTTTAAATTTAAAAGGCGAATCTAGTGAAATACAGAGTCCCTATATCGGAATCTCTATCTAGACTGCAGCGGGAACAATTGCAAAAAGCCTTACAGTATCTTATAAGCAAACTACCTCGACAAATCTTACCGACGGCGCAAGAGATACTGGAAGAACTTTTAACACCACACTCAAAGATTAACACTCTTTCGGGGGCTCCAGGTAAAATTCAATATAATATAACCAAAAAATATTTTGAATTTTCAGTATATCCATTAACCTGCTTCAAGTTTAGAAATACTTTACAATTTGGTAATGACAACTTTACCACGATAAAATTTTAGGCTTAAAAAATATTATTTTCTTTATTCAGTTAGAATAATCATATCATTTTAATTTTTTTAAAATGGGCCATAAAAATTTAAATATTTATTAAATAAAATCCTTTTCTTTTTTTTAAAAAAAAAGACATAACAGCTGGTGGATCAACTCAGGAATCACCATCGTGGTTTTTAGACGAAGCCTTATTACATGATAGCATCAAAAAGACGTTGTACAAACTCTGCATTCCTACACCCATGGTTTTCAGGTATTGTATATCCACATTTGAATTCTTTAATTCCTTCCCCTCTTCTCTGATTCGCTAAAATTAAAATACACGGGATTCGATGTAATCCCTTATCTATTGCTATTAACTTTCGATAAGGTTTTAATTTTATTCTCTTATCGTTTTCGTTTTACTACCACAAAATAATATTGCGGATAAGAATAAAATCTGAAACTTTTTTCAAGATTTGGGTGGGCTGAGAAAAATAAAATAAACATGTGTTTTTTTTAAAAAAAAAATATTTATTATTAAATATCCAATATTATAAAATACTAAATTCAGTATATTTATTAAATTGAAAAAATAATATCTATTAAAAGTTTACATCAAAGTTAGCCAATAAAAAAAATCTACGATTTTAACCCCCTCCCCCTTCTTTTCCACTTAGATCTCTTACTTTATAATAGGGATTCGGATCGACATCCGGGATTCGGTCGAATTGAATGATTTATAAATTTATATCGACCTTATCCTACCGCGATTTAAAAGAAAATTAGATCAGGTTATACTCAGATCTATTTCAGATATCTAAAAAATATACATCGGATTGTATTGATCGGACAAAACAAAATTATGGGATCGGGTTGACCCAAAAAAATGGATCTGACGAACTAACCATCGGAATAGAGCGGGATCCTGGGATAATGTGCATGAATTGCTCCCTATGAGACTTTAAAAAATGTTTCGAAGAAGGGGATTAACCCAGAAAATGACTTAATTTGTTTCGATTCTCGCCTGAGCCGTTTTAAAATTACCCAATATTCCTTAAGTTGGCCACTTATTTTAATATGATCGATAATATTTGTCCCCGTACGATAAACATTCTATCTCGTTTTGTAAAGCGACGTTAATTATTTATCCGCCTCTGCTCCGCCCGCCGCCTTGGAATGGTCCAACCTTTTGAGACCCTTAAGAGGTAGGGAGCCAGAGGGAATGTGGAATTTACTCTATATTGTCGCCGAAACCTTCAAGAAAAAGGACGGGAACGCCGTTAAGTTGCTTGAAATCATCACTCAGGAATGTCTCAATTCTGATCGGGTAATGCTTGATTTTCTTACATTTAAATTTTTTAATGAGTGTTTTATTTATTTTATTATTTCTGGATATGCAAATTATTATCAATTAAATTTACAGTTAAGCCCATTTATTTGCATACATAGGGAATTTAATAAAACTTGAAATTATTATAATTTTTTATTTCATTTGATTTTAATTATCTATTACTTCACTACTTACCACCTATGCTTAATATGATCAAAATCAAAGATTTTTTTTATGATAAAAATTACAATTTAAAATCTTCTCCTTTTTTTTAAAAAAAAAGAAGTTTGTTATTCCTAAATTTGAAAGGTATTACCTCCGTGATTATTTTCATTCAAATGTTTTTTATCATGTTATAAAACTTGATTTAAATATAAAAAAAATGATTTTTTATGCTAATCCACTATTCCATTGGTATTATCATTTTAGTAAAAGGAAAGGAAAGGAAAATATTTATGGTTAACAATTAAAAAAAAAGATTTTGAATTATTGGTACAACACAAAATCCGCCGAAATTCATTGTAAAAATATACTCAATCGTAACTCCTCTAACAGCATAACCGTTTCCACGCAACATGCCTGTCTAAATTTATGTGAGGAGATTGTGCATTTATGGTCCATTTGCGTTATGAATCCAGAGCTCACGTCTCACGAGAGAGAGGTTTTTTTTTTTAAAAAAAATAATAGTGAAGTTACATTTTATATAAAAATGTTTTATTTGTATCATTTATGTCAACTCTGGGCAGTAGTAAAATTCTATCTTAAAATAGATTGAATTTTTTATTAAATTTAAAGTGCCGTATTATAAAAATGTTTTATTTGTATCATTTATATCAACTCAAAGTGAATTATTTTGGCCAATAATAATATCCTATTATAAAATAGATGTGATTTTTTAAAATTAAATTTAAAGTGCCCTATTGCAAACCCTTGTATCCGATATTTTGAAAATTATTCGCCCGATAAATATAAAATTTTATCAAAATAAGATATGATTTAGGGCCTATACCCAAAGAGTTATACGCTCTTGAGAAATTGACCTTTGTAGTCATTATTTAAAATTAAAATAATAATTAAAAACTTTAAGATGTATAGTTATGAATTAATATACAGGCTAGTTTAAATATATTATAATATACACTAAACACTACACCATATTATATTAATATATGGAAATTATTAGAAATTAAATACAAATATTATAGTTGGGGAATGGCTTAGTTATAACAGATCGACTACATTATAGTTATTTAGCCGTATCACTTCGTCCGTCCTTTTTCATTTTCTTTTATTTCATGGTTTTTTATATTGTCATACATAGCCCACTGATTTAAATAAAAATGAAGAATTATTAGCTAGAGGCTATTAATTAGCTAAGGTTATTTAGTCGTTAGTCATTTATTTGTTAATAATAGCTATAATTTTTTTTCTTTGTTTGTTAATGGCCGTGTAAACTTATTCGTTTTTCCCTCCTATAAGAACTACATATAGCAAGTAGACTATTAAAAAAAAATTTAACGCAAAAACGCTCAATATATCCAAATTTATTTTGTCAACTTTATCAACATTCAGCATAATTAATTCAGCAAACATTCTCCTCCATATTAATTATGCGAACTTTTTAACAAAAATTTATTTAAAAAAATGAAATATATTTTTATTTGTTAACATATAGATGGAATAGGAAGATCATATAAAAAATTAAGGCTAATTTAATACCTTACCACTAATATGAAACTAAGAGTTTGTGGGGAAAATTGTCCCATTTATAATTTAGTTATACCTTTTATATTTTAATTCTTGAACAGAAAACCTAATTTTGATAGATCATTTAGAAATAGAGATGCTTACTATAGATTTTTTGGTTAATATAATCTAACTGACGATAAAGCAAGAATAACTACTATACTTGATCCTAGGCTTAAAATAAAATATTTTAAATTAACATCTGCTGATTATAATTTTGATATATCCAAATTAACGGATAAATTTAAAGAGATTTATATTTAGGTATTTAGCATCTCTTCATTTAAGTAAATAAATTTATATTTTAAAAAGTGATAATGGTAACTGTCAAACAAATAAGGAAGTAATTCAACAAAACAGTAGACAAGACATTGTTTTTTAAACAAAATAATATACAACTGTGTGAAATAGATTTTTATCTGAGTGAGCCAAGAGCAAAAACTGTTATTCACCCGTTAAATGTGGTGAAAGGAAAAGATTCCCATACTTTCGAAAATGGCAATGAATTACCTATCCATACAAACATTAACCGATCGTGAAAGGTGTCTCAATTGGAACTAATTTGCTGTCAAAAGAATCCATGTTTCATAAAAAGAAACAATAGGAAAAACTCATTGCTTTAAAAATTTAGCTTGGAATTATAAAATTAAATTAATATACATTTTAATTTCGCTAATAACTTGATCGCAAGTTCTTTACCATTACATTATAATTAATTTTTCTGTTTAAAAATAAATATGCTATAAAAAAAATTCTATCAAAATAAGTTCTTAAGAATTATTTTATAATATTTAGAGAGAAAAAAGAATTATTCGAATCGAATACAAATAGTAAATTTTATTATTCGTACGAATACGGTTAGTTATTCGATCGATTAAACGAATCGAATAAGAATAATGCATTATTCGTTTTTGAATAGGTTTACTGTAAATAGGTCTGGAAAATTATGCAATTTATAAAATGAATAATGAATCATGTATGACTATGAAAGACTTTAGAAGGAAATTAATATCTGATATGCTGGCAAAAATGATAATTTATGTACAGCTCACCAGCAAAACAAAGCCATCCAACTCTATTTAATAAAAAAGAAAGTGCCCTTAGAGATTAGAAGATGCTACCTCATCATATCAGATCTGAACGTAGGAGAAGATGTACTCATTGTTCAACAATTATTGACGAACATCGTTCACATTGGATAGCTCAGTATATGACATTGCGCTATATTTTTCGAAAGAACGAAATTGTTTTTAAACATTATGAATAATAAATCACAATCATGTTTTAGATGCACAGTCTTGTGAAATATTTTTTTATATTAAAGGATTATTTTTATAACTAAATTATAAAGGCGACATCGGATTTTTTGGTCATAAATTTCTGGTGCTTGTACAGGTTATATTGAGCTTATGATGTATAGGTATTCATGGTAAACTCATTTATGCAAAAAAATAGATCTTGCTGGGTTTAGCTGATATTCATTAAAATAAAGTGAAGATTTTTTCAACTTTTTTTAAAAAAAGATTTCATGTTAAAAAAAAGGTTTTTAACTACTTAAAAACATAAAATGTATTGAAATTACTTATTTCGATCCTTGGATTATTTTAAATTTTATATTCTGCCTTTTAAATACTTATGTAGAAACCTTTCAGTTTATAAGAGTTATTTAAATTGTTTAGCAAATAATAGTATAATACTGTTATAATTCTTGTTTATAATTAATAAAATTTATATCATATCAACCTTATTAACAGACCATAAAAGAATACCTACGATCCAAGCACATATATTTGATGGACAAACTCGTATCTATAGGTAAGCCTCAGATTGCCGTATCCTTATCATCCAATCTTACGGCTCAACATCATTATCCCAATCAACATAATGGTTAGTGTTTTTGAGAATCCTCTATTTTTAAAATCATATAATTTTACTGGGCGGGACCTCCTGGTCTTCTGATATATATATATATATGTAAGAAATTGAATTTTAACTCCAACATGATTAAGATCTTTTCTTCCTTTTTTAAAGAGAATTCAGTTATTTTTACTTGGTATATCTAGCATAGGGCAATTCTACACCTCTTTAAATCATTGTTTATAATTACTTCCCATTTCTATTATATAACATCAGGCATTACAACATCTCCCCCCCCCCTCACTAAGATGATAATGATACCTCTCCCAAAAACTAGCTTGATCATACCTTCTCCCATCATCAACTTTTGGTAGAATGCCAAAAATTATTCATAAAAAGAAGTTTTTTTGATTTAAGAATCAAATTAACAAAAAAATATCATATCCATAGTTTTATAAATTGTTCCATTTTAATATAATAAATATTAGACCTGAAAAATTTAAATTTTTCCAACCTAGTCCGCCCATGCCCTAGTGGCAAAACCTTTTTGACCCAGGCCCTTGGTCCAACCCGAGACTCGAATTTTTGGGAAAACTTATGGGAGGGAAGAAATCTTAAACTTTATTCTCTTTTTACTTTATTTTTTTTAAATTCATTTTATAATTGTGAAATTCAATCGGGCAAAAAAAATTGAAAAGAAAATAACACTGCTATTTTTTTTTAGGCCAAGGGCCAGGGCCTTTATTTTATTGATCATTTTGCCCACCAGGCTGACTGGCCTGCCCTGCGGTACTCTAATAAATATTTAAAACACAAAATTTGAGCGTGTCGTGTCCGCCCAATTTCCTTTAGATGCCACGGTCATATTGAATGGTATACTGATGTTTGACTTTCTCTGGATTTAGCTCGGTTCCTTTTTTTTAAAAAAAAACTGTTATTTTATTTTTAAAAGATAAGCTTCATTCAAAAAAAAAAATGTTTACTAAAAATTTAAAGGTAGCAATTATCCGTTGAAAAAATTTGACCTCGAATCCTTTCCCGGATTTAAGCCAGCACTTGAAGCTTGCATGATACCTCAGCCTAATACAACTCAGTTGTTGGATTTGTCATCTATTCCCAATTTCAATTTTAGCCAAGAATCTCGTAAAAAAAATTTTTTTTAAAAATTATTACGTGCTTTTTCAAAACTTATTCTTTTCAATACTTGTACTATTGATAATTTATGAAAATTCCAACACTTTAATTATGTATTTAGGATACCCACTAACTTTGAACTTCATAATAATAATATTTATGCTAGGAGAGTGTATTAATCTTTTCTTTAAACAAAGAACTATTTCATAAAATAGTGATAACATAGTTGTTTTTTTTCAGCATCCCTGCAATCTCAATCTACCAATATCGAAATTGAGGATAAATTGTGTTCGCCAACAGATGTTGTAACGGTAATTTTCTTATATGTTATAATATGAATGATAGGGTTCACTATTATTCTTTATAAACAGATAAAATTTAATTATTATCGCATTTTTAAAAACAAAAAATAGAGTAATATGCCCAATTCGACGAATAGTACAAGCACGAATGAACCGAATTATTTTGCGAATATATCTAAAATAACCGATGTTCAAGAAGTAATTTTAATTAGTCATAGCTTCCCTTCATTTTTTAAAATTTATATCATATATTAATTTATCATGTTATTGAAATTAACATCCTTATTCAGATTTACTTCGATTTATTATGATTTTTTGATATTCATGTGAAACATATATCACCCTTATATCGGGTTTCCGTTTATGTTTTCTCCCCACTTTTCTCACTTCCATTTTACGGCGTTGCTAATTTGGCTCGATTTTAAGGCGTGTTCACGAAAATAATTAGCAAAACCTTAAGTCGCCTGTTTACACTTGTTGAGTGCCTTCAAGGTTGAACCATTCTTTAGACTAAAACAACTGAGGTTTGGAGTCGGTGCAAAATTTAGACCATTTATTTGAGAAACACTCCCTGATGAAATCTTATATTTCATAAAAATATTATGTTATAAAACATTTCCCTTCTACTTTTATATTTGTTAGATCATGTATTACCAGGTTCTGGGCTTGTATTACCATGGACACCTCAAACTAGCTACATCGATGGCCTACCAACTCGCTAGCCTTCTCGTACAAACTCCCTCCCTCTATTTGATAGGCTTCAGTTTGGGACAATCAGTGTCTTCGCCTAATGAACCCCAAACTCCCTTCTTGACTAGTATTAAAAAATCAGGACCTAAACAACATCACCATCATAGCGAGAAACCTGGAACTGTTAACAAGTTACTGTCTTACGAAATTACCAGAAAGTCTCTTTCCATTCTCAACAAATCCATTTTTGTGTGTACCGTGCTTTGCGAATCTGCCTCCTTGCACTGCCCTCTTCCTAATAATATAATGAATAACCTTATCATTGGACAACGTAACCCTGTAATAGGCAACGTTAATGACGATAACATCAAACATCAAAACGAAGAAAAAATGGGCACGTCCTTATTGGCTTTGAAATTAGGATTGGCAACCTTGAAAATTTTGAGACCCCCGGCGTCTAGCAAAGCTCTCGAGGTAGTATAAATAAATAGATTTTTTGGTTAATTTAGAAATAATTGCTAAAATTTTGAAATATGATATCTTAAAAAGATGATTCAAAAGTGTCGTTAAATTAAATTACTCCACTAGACAAATTTTGAAAAATATGCTAAATAAATTGAATTGCCTTTTTGTGACTCTAAGTAGTGAAGGTCAATTAAAACATTGCATAGTTATGCCTTTTAAAATTAAAAATGTTCTGGCTCCATGCCCCAAGATCATATATATTTTTTTTGGAACATTTCTTGGTATATTTATAATAAGAAACTTAAAATAACGGAAAAAAACATTCACTGAATTTGGCAGGATATTTTTAAGCTTACTTAAATTGAATCACTGAAACATTCTGGAATAATTTTTAGAAACCATGTTGTTCGTTTAAACACTTAAGAGGTCCGGTTTCCAAGCCTCTGCTTTAAACAGTTATGTCAAGAATTGGGCTGGAATAATTCTTATCTTATTTTCTATTTTTTTTTGTAAACAATTAAAAATGCCAACTCAAGGTAAAATTAGCTAATCAGGAATCAGTTCTATGGGACATTCTTATCAAAATACCCATGGACTTGGCGAAGTTATCTTTGCTACACGAGGAAGGCTCGGATTTTATCAACCAAGTCTTCAATCTCAACACCAACCTATCCTGTATTCTGCCTTACACCCTCGCAACATTGCTCTTCGAGGCTCTATGTTCTACGAGTTTGTGAGGATTTTTATTCTTTTTTCCCACTTGCTTTTTAGGGCTATTTTCTATTTAACTACTAAATATTTTAATGTTATTATTATTATTGCAATTATAAGAAAACACAAGTTTACCTTACTTCCAGTTTATCTCAATTATAATTGTACTTTTTTTTCTCATCTAAAAAATATTATACGCATTCAATTATAGGAAAAGACAAATTTACGTTACCACCAGAGCCAAAAAAACCCTACACTAACAACAATACTGGATTATCTGAATCACACTTTTCAATATCCGCAGTTAACAATGTTGCAAAAATATCTAAACAACTGGCAAAGGACTCTATCAAAGTTAAGCCCAGCTGTTCTTACTTCAATATAACGAATTCCAAATCTCAGTGCCTGCAGCAAGCATCCTCCAAGGAAAACTACTTGGAATTCAAAATTGGACTGGCGGCTTTAGAAATGAGAACCAATATCTCCGAAATAGAATATCCGCTATTGATAGAAGGCATGAGAAGGAGGAGAGGCGATTTGGCGCTACTACTACTATTGACCTATAAAGACGATATCTATAAATTGGCTCAAGTAGTATTTTAAATAATTAATATGCACCTATTTCATCGAGGCATTAAAATATCATCATCAGTCTCATAAACCTGCCTAACTTTATTTTAAGAAATTTACAAGAATCTATTTTAATATTGATGATAATGTCAATTTGAGAGCATGCCATTTAAATAATAAAATTATTCTTTATAACATGAATAAATATCCAATTAAACAAAAATTATAATGGTAATTGCGACATAAATATACATATTTTTGCCCAAATTTTTTTAAAATAAAAATAGAATGAAAATTTTAAATAATTGAAAATCTCACCTGCTTTTAATATATCATAGAAATCATATAAATTAACTATACCCATAAATGCAACAAAAAAAAGGCATTTTGAAAATTTTTGTTAGACGGTTTTGTACGTACGAATATTTTATCAAATATATACAAGTTTGAAGAGTGATAAGAAAGGAATATTTATTGTGGTGAATTTATTTGTTAATTAAGTTCTGAGGGTAGTATGGTTGGAGATTGTGGGATATTTACGAGGTGATATGATGGGACCAACTAATAAGTTAGCTGATTTGTATATTAGGGTGGATAGTAGGGATTTAAATGGGATATAAATGTAAGATTATTTATCTATATACTCCAATTTTAAGATCATAGATAGATTTTTGGATTCCTATGTGCATCAAATGTGTAAAATGCCCATGCCTTTCTTTTATTACAACAATAACGCTAGCATGAATCTCAATCAAAGCCTTGCCCCTTTAGCTATTAAAATCTCATTGAGATTACTACCAAATTATATTATGTACCTAATTATAGGGCAGAAAGTTTGAATATATAGTAGATAAAAAAAGAAGCTTTTATGGAAGAGTACAAAATTATTGAAAAATAACAAGAGTTAGTTTAAATTTATTTGTAAATAAATTCGAGTTATAAGATTAAAGAATCTGTTTATAAGATGTAGTTGGGGGTATTCTTTTCAAAAAATATGTGGAAAATGTATAAGGATATAATAAAATGGACAAAACGACAATTTTAGGATTCTAACACCATGTGCTTAATAAGTTTGACAATTTGAGGTAAAATGTATATTTTATTTTTTTAAAGATTCCCATATGTTTTATATGACATTTTTTTTAAACCTAAACCAACATTCTTATTAATTTTATTATATTACTTCTCAGGTCAAGCGCAAGATGAATCATTACCCAGGTCTTAATCAAATTTCTATCACCATCTTGCTTTTGGCTTATTATTTTTGAATTGTTAAGCACTACATTGTTGAGCTCTAGAACAAGTTGGAATTGGGGGGGGGGGATGTTGGGGTTTTTATTCAATGAATCTAAGCAAATGCAAACCTCTTCTAAACACTGGAGCATCTTTATATCTTCTAAGCACTCATTGTCTTTGAAACAATGTGCGAGAAAGCGTCGGGAGTTTATCGAAGGTCATGTAAATCTAGTGAAGATTGGGTTTTTTAAAAATCAAGGTTAAAAAAACAAAACTTTCGGAATTCTAATCGTCGTTGATTTTCTTTTCCTATATATAGCCATTTATTCCATTCTTTCTTCCTTAACATGATATCAAAATGTAAACTTTTTTTAAAAAAAATTATTAGTTAAGCAGTGAACTCAGTTGGACAGGGCCAACTAATAAACAAGATCTTATTTATGATCAGGTTCTAATAAAGAGGTATAAAGGATTTTAATTAGTTGTAAAAGAAAAAAAAATGTTCACTCTGCCTGTGAGACAACTTATTTAAACTTATTGGTATCTTTGATGGTTGGTAAATCATGTTTTAGCCAAAACAGATTCGAAATTTTAACAGACTTGAATAATATCGAAATTGGATCCATTGAGTTTTTATTAAATCCTGGATTTGTGGTTATCATTAGTTTTTGGAGGTAATATCAGTGGGATTTCTTTTAATGGCAAACGGGCTTTGATCTGATTCGCGAGATTATTGTTTAAGCTTGAATCAAAGACTCTTTTTTTTTAATATTCAAAAAATGATTATTTTTTATTTTCCAATGTACAGTTCAAACTCAACGCTAAAACAATTTTATATCTTACTATTCTCATAATTCCTTACTTAGATCATGGATAGATTTTTAGATTCCCATGTGCATCAAATGTGCAAAAGACCCATGCCTTGCTTCTACTACTGCAATAACGCTAGCAATAATCTAATGAATCACGCTCAAACAGGTTGACCATTTCTTAGATATTCATTTTTACATTTTATTTGTATGCCACTAATCGACTAGAGGTCTGCAAATGGCAAAATTTTCGAGCCCAACGGTAGGAATTTAATTACTGCCCCGGTCCAAGTTACAATTTTTTTTATTAAGGTTGCCTTGACTAGACTGGTTTTCAAATACAAGGCTTACCAAAATACATGTTGTTGATAAACAACTATTTATCATCTTGGGGTGGTTAAATTAAAAAAAATATTCTACTGATTATCTCTTCTATGAAATATCTGAATCCATAAAAAATAAGTTTTGCTTGGCCTGGCACAAAAAAAAACAATTTTTAAACTTTGCCCTGTTCATGGGCCGGGCTATCTGATTAAAACTATATATATTCGACTTGTTTTTTGTAATATTCATAACTTTGTTTATCTGTGGCAAACAAATAACATCTGACGAAACGTACTGCTTGTCGGCCCAAACCTCTAGTACATATATAAATTTTAATCATAAAAAACACGATAAATATGGAACACAAATTCAACGTCGATGATGCTAAATATATTTTTTTTAATTCATCACACCTCCCGCCCTACTTTCAATCTTTAAATACATCATTCATTTACCACATTGAAGATTCTCCATTGCGGACTAATGACAACGAGTGCATAGTAGATGATAAGAAAAAAGACCTTCCAGCGTATGGAACGGAAGAAGTTATCAGCGAATATTCGATCACACACTCATCGAATAATTCCCCCCAAAATTCCCACATGTTCGAGCCCGACACTTTATCGCTTAGTAATTCTAGAACCATAAACTACAGGAAAGATGGCGATGAAACTTTGGTCGAGATCGAGGAACAGAATCTTGCGATTGATAACCTCGAAAAGTAATATAATTGGAGTTTGGGAACCGGCACTAAGAAAGAGTTCCGGTTTTAAATAATTTTTAAAAATAACAATCCTTTTTTCATTAATATTCAAAAATATTATTTTCCCTATTTATACCTTACAGCCAAACTCACGCTGAGCAAAATGGCGCTACCTCTCAACAGCAGGCCTTGAAAGAAAATTTGCAAATGTCATCCCAACTCTCGGCTTTTCCTAGCGAGGCTGGAGCTCATTATACGTTCGAGTTCGCGAAAAATCTCTTGATAAAAGCCGGTGGCAATTCGAATTCCGATCTTTTCTTGCACTCAACACCTCTTCAAATTCGCGAGCCCCACAAGGCCCTTCACTTTTGCGCGTTTCAGATAGGTGAGTTGTCATAAAAATGTTTTTAAAAGTTAAAACATTATTTCCATTAAAATTCTTATCTAAATATTTCTTTATATTGAACTTGAAATTTTGAAAATTAAAAAAAACAAAGGCCTATACGCCCTAGGGCTTCACAATAGAGTCACACCTAATTGGTTATCGCGAACATACAGCTCGCACGTATCTTGGATAACTGGCCAGACCTTGGAGATTGGCGCTTCGGCCATTCATTTCCTCGTAGACACCTGGCAAGCCCATTTGACGCCTTCCGAAACGGCTTCCCTGGCCGATAAAGCTTCTAATATCTGCGATTCTTACATGGTAACTTTGTGTTTAATATTATAAAGAAGGCTTCTAAACTAAATGTTCATTTTACGCAATTAATTAGTGTTCTGAAAACCAAATAGATTATGTTGGGTTTTTTTGGTGCGGTTTTGCAGACCAAATTTAGCATACTGAATTACATTATTGCTATTTTTGAATTGCATTTATATTTTATTTAAAATTATAATAGCCATATATAGCAGCCGAGTTGGCTCTCTCTTGTTTGAATTATTGTCATGCTTTATCCATTACGGAAACGCAAAGAGCACTTATACAATGCAAAGAACAGAACAACGAAATGCTGATTAAAGGCTGTTTGACCGTTGAAAATATTGCCAGAAATTTTCACGTTTCTCCCGAGGTTATTTTCCTTAAACTTTAAGCTTATGTTTGTAGTTGTAGTCCCACTAAAATATATTGATTGACAGACCGGTCTTCTTTTAAATGGACCATTGGTCGATATATGAAAAACTTTCCAACCGCAACCTTCATCAATTTCAGCTACAATTCGATGAGAATGAATAGAATTTTCAATTTTATTTATATTGAATAATCTTTCCAATCAAATAAAAAAATCAAGGTTTTATTCGAGGTAGCCAAGCACTGGTATTCGCTTCATGAACTTACCTATCACCGTCACCATTTTGCTTTCGGCAGCAACCATAGTTCTTCTCTCGTGAATCCATCACTCTTCAATTTAAACATGTTCCCCAATCCTCTCAACCTTCTTCAGCCTGTTAATAAAGCCCTCAACCCATTCAATAACCCAAATATCAACTTGGCTAATATTCATACCTTTAAAAACTGGCCTCCTTCCATTCAACAACCTCACCAAACTCCTCAACGATGGTTAAATCCATATTACATGATCCCTCCTCCGCCTCTCCCATCTCCTTTGCAACTTCATCCCGTTTATCCACCCATCGCACCCCTGCAGCACCACCCTTCTTTCCCTCTCCTCTTGCCACCCCTGCCCCCCATTCCATCTTTACCACCTTTCCCCGCTGCCCCCAATTTTCATTACCACTATTACCTCTATTGTAGACCTCAGGAATTAGTCCCTCAAAAAACTTTTTATAACAATGCGTTTTCCGTCGAATCGAGCCGCTATGTTGGTAACAACCTCGAATTGTATAACGCCAACAACTCTACCCTTAATTATTCTAACTTTCAAAATTTAGATATCAGCTCTACCAATGGAATCATACATAATAATGATAGTAATGGCGTCAACGCTAATATGGTAATGAATAACGCAGTTTATGCCGATGACAATAAAATAATTGCCGATATGGAAAGTATATCTTCCGACGAATCCTTTCCTCGCGAACGTTTAAAGCAAATTACTCGGAGAGGTTCGTCTCATGATCATACACTTATGGATAGCTCACGCTTCGAGAATAAAGTTATCGATGTCGTTAACAAGAGTGGTGAAAATACAACTGGCGGGTGTCTTACTAATATCGAGGCCAAAGAAGTATTTTATCGCTTGATTATTTAAATGTTTAACGCCACTTTTCGTAGAGATGGATACTATTTTAAAAGTCAATTATGTAATTAAAATATAAACCAAGTGACAATAGTCATATCAAGGTTATTTTAAAGGGGTAAAGATAAGTGATCATCTTTGGAGGTTTCATTGTATACAATCAAATATATAATTTTTTTAAAACATGATTTTTGTTTATATATCGTGCTAGACTAAGAATTCGCAACATCTACTTTCCGCTTTCAGGGTTGGAATGATGGCGTTGGAATTGTTAGGCAAGAAAATTCAGGATGAAAGACCTCAAACAAAATACGCGCCTAACCCGCCATATGGAGAGGATGTCAAATGGCTCTCCCGAATCTCAATTATTTTAGGTTATTTGAGGCAATTCTCCTATAATGGCCGTTTTAGATTGTTAAATTATTGCGAAATTCATATTCATATTATGGGGTTTTAAACTTTGAATGGTTTAACTAAGGTCTTGCTGTATAAACTGGCGATTTAAATATAATTTTAAAAAATCTTTAGATATTTCATCTTGTTTTTTTCGGTACCCTCATTTTATCCTTACTCTGTCTCTGCAAAGTCTCATTATTATTATTATTATTGTATAGGTTTTCAATATATAAACCTCTTGTTTTCGCTTAGTGTCATCTCACCCTTGCAAAGTGTTTAAAATATCAAAGCTCAACTTAAAAATTTATAAATAAGATATAACAGTTTTAAAAGTTGTTTCGGACAGGGGTGTGAACCCGAACCCTGGTTTGGCTGAATCCCAACCCAGACCCTTTTAAAAGTAATAGGTTCTAGGTGTCCAAGAAAAATATTAAATTAAAAAATTTTTTTGAGGAATCATTTTTTTTCTCTTCCCATTTTTCAAAATGTCCTTTTTATACTTCAATTTTAAAGTTAATATCTTGTCAATTTTAGAAAGTGAAATATTGTGAATTTTGTAATTGTGTAGGTAATAATATTTCATTATAATTTATTAGTATGCTATATAATAGGAATTTTATATTAATTTTAGAAAGTGAAATTTTTGGATATATAGCAGTCGCGTAAATATTTCAGTGTATTTAGGCAATCATTTTGTTTGTAAAACAAAGTTATTATAGAAAAAAATAGATTTCAATATTTTTTTTAAGTTAACTGTTTTAAATAATCTAAATTTAATTGAAAAAATTGTAGTCCCAAGCCCATTAAAAAAAATTTTTAAAGACCCAGACCCGCTAGAAAATATAATTTAGGCCTATTCACTGGTGTGTTTGACCCTACCCAATCATTCACGTTATCCCCCCCCCCCTCATCTAAATACTTGAAGATTAACGGGATAATATATTTTCTTGCAGAACGATAAAATCTTGATCACTAATTATTAATTCACCACATTGATAATTTATCTCACAGGGCCCACCTATTTTCATCAGTTTTGCGCTTCCGTTATCACCTGCATCCAAAGCCCTTTTATTCTTCAGGACGTTTTGGTCGACACGCAAACTTATATCCTAGATTCAAACAACTCGAACCTAGTTCAAACTTCAACCCCCTCGCAATCTTACATACTTACAAACAATTTGAATTTCCCGTCTTTAGTTATAAATCCCCTCAATATTCCACAAAATGTTATTGCGGAAAAATACAATCTCGTTTCCAACCTTAATAAAGTTGCTAATAATGGTGTGACAAATTTGATAGGCTCCCCTGGTTATGGTGGCGGTGTAAATTTTCACCTCGACGACGCTTACAAAACTGCCTCTAGTTTAATTTACCACCAAAATTCCGTTACAAATAATAATTCGACAAACTTTTTAAATTTTACCACTGCCCTACCACCACCTTCGATCGGATCCGTTTATTTTGAAAATAGTATAAATAACGTCGCTAATTCTTTTAAGTTTTTACCAGTTACCTCATTACCATCCACGCCCGTTAGTCAGCATAATTCTCGACTAGAAGCCTCTATCATTTCGCCATTACGAACTAAATGCTGGCAAATGTAATAAAAAGTTTTTTTTATCGGTTAAAATGTAATTTTGAAAGATTTATGGTATTAAAAACTTCGATTTAACCGATATATGAATAAATCCAAGAAAAGGACTGGCCAAGATCTTGATTTAACAACCGGTAGGGATTAACTTCTAAGTTCCAATCTTATTTCGATATGTTATCAAAAAAAAGGTTTAATTTTTTTTAAACTCAGGTATTCTCATTGGGCAACTATGCGTTTATCCCACATTACCCCGGACGAATACGAAGATTTTGTTCAGTTATTGAACCACTCAAAAGTTGCATTTTATACATCGTCCGACGGATCCTCTAAATTTAACGATTTTCTGCAAAATATGCGTCGATCCAAAATGCTCAAAAAGGATCTTTGGCAGAAAATAATCCAAAGTAAGCCAGATATCTTGGCAATCAATTAAACTGTTCGATTTTATTCACATAAGTTTTAAAAAAAAGACATAATAAATAAAAGAAAAAAGATTAGTTTAGCGAGTTGCAAGTCTATGGTTGTTAGAAAGCCCTGTTCGGATCTATTTTTTAAAAAAGACCCGATTAAGATTTTAGCTAAAATTTCATGTAAATTTGAAGATTTTGCTCATAGATGGCAGAAAGGTTTGGACACTATTTGCAAAAATCGAAATCTTAATCGAGTCGTTTTTAAAAATCATTTTAGCTAGAAATTGCAAAGGACGCTTCCAAATAAGAATAATTTATAGCCAAGGTTTTTTAAGATAATATGCTATTAGTTTTTGCTGGCTAATTTTTTTTGTCATTTATAAAAAAAATAATGACTTTTATAAGTGTATCTCTTGTATCATTAAAAAAAAATATAATTTCATTAATTTATATTATTTTATCTTATCAAAAAATAATAATTAGATGTCCTGAATAATATGTCTTAGGTCATCGTTACTATAATCCACATATGAATGAATGTAGCGTTTTATACTTGGTGATTTGATTTGAAAAATACTATTTATTTTTTTACTTATATAAAAATGTAAATTTATATTTATTTATTAATTAAAATAATTTGGATATAAATGCGTATATGATTGTTTTTTTATTATTATTATTGTATTTAGGAAGAAAAAAAAATATATCTAAATACAGTGTAACCTCCTTATTCAAATATAGAATTGGAGCACTCCTGTTACGAGATCAAATCTAAAAAGCCAGAACATAAAATTTTAGTTTTTCTGCCTACGTTTTGATTAGTGTCGTTAAAAACCCCGATTTGGGTCGATTTTTAAATCGATCCGATTAAGATTTTGGTCAACATAATATTGTATAAGGCTCGAGTTTTAGCAATTACTACATACGTAATATGATTTTGGCTAAAATCTTAATCGGGCCTTCTTTAAAAATCGGCATTTTAACAACACTAGTTTTGATAAACAACGTCCAAATTTTATTAAACATCTTTAGTATGAACCATTGCTGCCATCAAAAAAACAATTGGGTAAGCCAGTTTTCCCTCTGATTCCCCTTCATTTTTTGCTCTTCGGAGCATCGCTATTTATGAAATCTATTTTCCTCATATTATCCGTTATCACATCCATATGGGTCTTGATTCTTCCTCGTGACTTTGATCCACTTCCCAATCATTTTTTTGACATGCCCAAATTACCTCAGTCTATTCCTTCCCATCACCACTCCAATCGCCTCTATTCCATTTCTTTCTCGCAATTCCAATATATCATCTTAACTTGTAAATATGCACAATTTCAAACTTGTAAAATATTTATTAAACATAATAAGCTACCTAAAATCTGTAAAGTGTAAATCGTAGGCAAATGAAATACTTTAGATACAAAATTTGTAAAAACGTTTGTGATTTTTTATTGAACAATTATTTTCGATTTATTTTTCAGAGTTTGGGAATCCGATTAAAAATGGTTCCAGTTCGTAAAATTTAAGCGATATAAATAAATCTTCCTAATATGTATTTTTATTCTTTTGTTAGTTATGGTTCCCTGAAATTTTAAAATGCCCATTCTCATTAAACGAAAATTATGGTAGATTATGACCGGTTCCAAGGTGTGTCGAAAAAAATAAAACCACCTTTTAAGAAGTCTATTTATTTATTATCAGAATTCTAAATGAAATTACTAAGTTCTTTAGGATGACTACCTATTTTGCTTAGCAACTTCAATGTTCTTGCATTTAAATCTTTTTGTGAATACTTAGATTTTAAGAACTTATAGAGTTGTATAATATTTTATAGAAATTGATCTTTTTTTTTATAATTAAATTTAAGTGTTAATACTGATAAAATAGGCTGTTAAATATTTGGATTCTCGGCTCATATTTTTAGACGGATTTTTTCTTCAATTTTATATAAAATAATAATATCAAATCTTTGATATGTATTAGAACCCTACCCGAACAGATCAGTAAATTATTCTCTTGGATTCGGTTTAGGACCTTGCCAAAAATTTGCGTCAGATGTGAAAAATATTACTTAGGTTAAATTAGTCGAATGAAACTTTTCTCAGATTCAGTCACTATAATTGTATCCTATAAATTATAACCTCAATATGACTATTCCTTAGATTATAACATCAATATGACTATCCTGTGAATTATAACCTCAATATGAATATCCCAAGATTATAACCTCAAGATGATTATCCCATAAATTGTAACCTCAATATGACTATTTAATAGATTATAACTTCGATATAATTTTTCCCTAGATTATATGTTAATGTCTTTTATTGTCAATATATCCGGAAGAGTATACCATATATCAGTTTCAAAAAGAGACGATTCAAATAATGGTTCCAAAGCGTACCAAAAACAGATACAATCTAAATGGACGATTTGATAAATACTATGGTAGGTCAATGCCACAGATATAATAATGGAATGAATACGATAAATTTCATCGTCAATACAAATTCCTATTCAATCAACACGTGGATTTCAATGGTCTTGACAAATTCGCCTGACTTATTCTTCTGGTGGAAATGGCTGGTTGTCCAAGCAATCAGAACTAATATAGATCACCATCTATAATCCTTTGACGGCACAAGGAATGACCCAAGCTTTTCATTCTTCACCCAAATTAATGATAAAGAAAGCGTATCCGATGTCAATAGTTCAGCAAAAAAATTTCAATCTCAAAAAAATTCCTATGAAACGATGAACTAAAGATACGAAGACCTATGTCCAAAACAATTGTAGTTACTAAAGAGATGCAAGGAGATTTTGCGAAATGACCATTAATGAGGGGATAAATAAGAAAAATATAAAATCATTAATTATTAATATAAATAGTTTTTTTTAAAAATTATATATGAATATGTATAATAGGCCTGAGAATATCTCTGAAAAATAAGGGAGGTGAAGGATGCGGTTCAGGTTCGGTTTTACGTAAAAAATATAGGTAGGTTCTGGTTCGGTTTAGGGAAATATTTTTGAACCCGGGTTTAGTTCCGGGTTCAGCTGGGGTTTAAGAATTTTTGAATTGATTAAAAAAAATTTATATTTAAATCATAATTAAAAAACTAGATATTTATAGGCAAACCAATAAGTGCCCTACATCTTTGTTTAACAATTTTTAAGTTAGATTTTAAGAATTCTTTAAATTAACAATATCCAATATAATAATTTTTACTTCGACTTGTTCACTTTCATTTTCCTCTAATTTTTGAGAATAAGTTAAAAATTAAATGGGGTAAAATTTAATTGTTTAAAATATACTAACACTCCAATGGGAATCTTTGAAAATAAATTAAAAAAATTATAAAAATGAATTAAGTTGTTTAAAATATATTTACACTTCATTTTATTGGAAATTTGAAAATATAATAAAATCTCAATTAAATTATTAATATTTGTATTAACAATTATACAAATATTTTAATATATGATTTTAAACAATACACTGAACCCGGGTTCAAATAAAATTCCCAGGTTGGTTCAGGGTTTTACATATTTTATAAACAGGGTTCAGGTTCGGTTTGTGTTCAATAAAAAATAATTAATTTTTAATAAATTGGAATTATCGTAATATTGGTGCAGTTCTCTTCTAGGAAAGAAACCTTTTTGCCGGATAATATAAACTAACTAAAAATATACGATCATGGACAATTAAAAAATTAATGTGTCATATTTTTATATATATTAATATTATGTAATGCCAATCAACCGATTTAAATAAGGTTTATTACGTGATACGTGATAAAAGCGTTTTCGCCCTCTGGTTGTGGATACAACAGAGCTACGCTAGGTTTTCCTCAAAAATCCTTCAAACTGGATAGTTAATTAAGGGGAAAAAAATGAGGAGCCCTTCACACGTTTGTGGGCAAGCCGCACGTACTTGTACGCGCAACAATCCGAGAACTGTTGCTTAAACGTCTATAGGCTAATAAACAAAAAGAAATGGGCAAAACAAAAGCCTATACCCAAGAACTGCAAAAATAATTTAATTACAGGGTGGGTGGTGGCTAATTTTAAGTTTAACATCTAATGTACTTGATAATTACTATCAATAATTGAGAATGTGTTCATATCAATTGAAATTAGAATTTATTCATTAAAATAAGAAAAAGCTAATGGGTTTACAGCAAATTGTTTAAATAGGTGAAAATTCCAGTGAATAGGCAAAACTAGTCAGTAATACATAAAAGCATGGTGAGAAATGTAGAGTAGGTTATGAAAAGAAGAAGTAAGATTGAGAAGAAAAAGAAAAGTAGACAAGGAGAAGAGGAGATAAAAAGATATAGTAAAATAACCTGTTTTTAGGAGAAGTTTGTGGGAGATTTAAATAATTTGATTTGATTTTAAGCAGTTTCTTTATTGATCTCTTATTCTTATTTAGCCTTAGAAACTGTTTAGTGTTTAAGTTCATATCCATGATGTCTTTTTGCCCTATAGTACCATAATATTTTAAACTTTCCATAGGATTTGCCGTTGAAGAAGTATAGCCAATTTATGGCATCAAGGACTAGGCTCAGTGGCGTAGCTACGGGGGTGGTTTTCGGGTTTGGACCCCTACCAGAGCAAATTTTTTTTTGAGATTATACGTTCAAAAGACTTAAAAGTGATTTTATATGAATTATATTTTTCTGGTTTTGATGTTTGTGGAAGGATATTATATTACTATTGAAATTATTCTGGCAGTATTATTATAAAGACATTGAGAATAATCTACTAAATTATAATAACATATTATTGATGCATTTAAAAAATATATTTATTATATATTATCGAAGATATGGTTATGATTTGTAAGATTAACCCGGCCGAAGGGGGTCTGGGGGGCGAAGCCCCCAGCTTTTATATGTATGGACCCCCTCTAAGGAAAATTCCTAGCTACGCCACTGATTAGGCTGTTATTGGTATGATTCCTCAGAATATGCGCGAAGAAGGTTATACGCTTTTTCTTTAGAGTTACATGTACCGGAGTATGTTTAGACCTTCTCCAAAGGTTGTCGTTCGAAATGATGTTGGGGTAAAAGACTCCATTGATTATTCTTAAGCTTAACAAACGTTTGCAATCTCTTTGTCTCCGTCTTAGTTATCTCCCATTTATCACCCCCGTAAAGGAGGATTGGAATGTTAGAAGAGTTAAAAATTCTTAGCCTAGTGAACACCGATATCTCCCTAGTTCTCCATAGCTTAAAATATTTGTAGAAAGCAGCTCTAGCATTCTGAATTCGGAATCTCAGTTCATCTTTACAACTGCCTTTATTGTCGATGTTCACTCCAAGATATTTATAGGAAGACACTACTTTGACAACTTTTCCTCCAACTAACCAATCTCCCAGAGGGGGAGCATGAGACTATGGCATGATTACAGTCTTATCGAAGTTAATATCTAATCCAACCATAAGACTAAAAGTGTTTAGTATCAAGACCAAATTGTTAGCCTCCTCCAAGTTTTTTGCAATCAAGACCAAGTCATCAGCATAACTAATCACCCTGTTTTCCAAAAACCACAGC